TGGGAGGGAGATAGGGTTGCCAACTCCAGGTTGGGAAATTCCTGGAGATTTAAGGGGTGGAGCCTGGAGAGGGTGAGATTTGAGGAGGGGTGGGACCTCAGACAGGTGCGACACCATAGACTCCACCCTCCAAGCCAGCCATTCCCTCATGAGGAACCAGTCTCCAGGGGAGGGATGGAGATCACACAGAATTACAACTGCTCTTCAGATGGCAGAGATCAGTTCCCCAGGAGAAAATGGTGGACTCTCTGTCATTATACCCTGCTGAGGTCACCACAGCAAATTGATGCTGAGTGCCCAAGGCCGGGGCACTCTCCCAGAGCCTCTTCCTAGAGTTTGTTGTATTTATTTCCATAACGGGCCTTATTCCTAGTAAATCAATAAAACCAAACTAATTACAATGAAATAAGTTCACCAATAGGCAGCACAATCTGCTAAAGATGGTAACTCCAAAACGATAACTCCAATACTATTAATTCCAAAATGATAACTCCAGAACCAATGCTATAACCAATATTCCAATATACATAGAAAACATGTGAATACAACAGTATTACAGATGTATCACAATATGGCAGATATATCACATTAACTAGTTAATACAGAATAATCAACATATATGTCACATAGCTGGTCAAAAAACCACCATCAGTTGGTCAGAAACCACCAACAAAAAACACCAAACACATTTTAGCTTTTGCCTTCTTCAGTGGTGCAACAACTAACCATAAGCTAAGGATCCTGATGAGTACAGAGAATATCAGAACTATAGTGTAAACAAATATACCCATAGATATCCTATAAAACAAATAAGAAATGGAAAAATCCATCATAAAAAGCAAAGAATCATTCAAAATATAATAAACATGCATATAAAAAAATCTACTCATGAATCATTACATCCTCCCTGTGAGCAGTAAATATTGCAAGCTTGCAATTAAGTAAAAGATTAGGAGAATTTATAAAGTGAGATAGAGGTTGGTTTTTTTAAAAAAAATATTTTTAGCTTGAGTTTTTTATTTATATATTTCTGGAGTCTGTTTACTTAGCTCTTTTGGTTATCTCATCTGCTTCTTTGGGTTGGGTTTTATTGTTGTCTCTCATCTCTTTTTGTTTTGAACCAACCATGGAGGAGACACATTCCATGAGCATGCAAATACAGCCCAGGGCCCAGCAGCACTCCTAAGCTATGAGCCAGCTCCTTCAAGGGGAATGCAACCCCTTCCAGTTCAGATGGTTCCATTAGTCCATGACCATTGACCAATAGTACCTCAGCCTTATCGAGACTGAGCTGTAATCCAAATACTGATGCCATGTAAAAACAAAGATGCAGACTGGAGTGCTGACTTTTGCAGTCATCAAGAAGTGTCTGAAGACAGAAAAAGAATGGACTCTGCAGAGGTCATTTATTGAATGATAATCAAATATAATTGTTGGCTGAGGTGACCTCGTACAATGTACCCATTTGATTTCCACTACTTAGTGGCTAATAAATTTTCATTTTAGCCCATTCCGTTAACATAAAGGTTTATGTAACAGAGATAAGATTAAAGATTTCAGCCATTTCTGACTTAAGGGCTGGAATCTAATGAAATAAAGATAGGAACACAGCCAAGAAAAATAACTGGTGACTAAACAGCAGCTATTTTGCTGATGGTTGCTCTTTTGGAGTTATTTTCTTCTGACTTACCTTTGACCAACAGCTCTTTAGACTCAGGGGGTAAATTTGGACTTAGAGAGTGAAAGCACATTCACACAATAAGAAGCAATAGCAGAGTAGGGTGGAAAAAGGAAACTGAGATGTTTAAATCATTCACAATAGATTGTGCTTGATTCACATTTAAGACTTCATCCATTTTGATGTGAAAAAGTCTCCCAAGTGTTAATTTACCAAGATATAATTGCTAAGGATAATCACAGTTGCTATGTAGCCAACTTGTCAGTAGTTCTGCAGAAATCAATAGGATTACTTAGAAGGAGAAAATATCCACTTGAGGAATTCTATGTTTTATAAATATATTTCTGTCTTTACATTTCAATATCATATTTATTTAGTTCAACTATAGTCCACCTTTCTCCTTGAGACACAGGCCCCAAATAAACTTGGCAGCATCCTCATGGTCACCACAAGGAGGCCACCACCATTTTAAAGACATTTTAACATGCCGCAACACTTGAAAAAGCTCACGGGGAAAACAAGATCACCACACTTCAGGTATTACAACATGTAAATGTCTTTAAAATGGCAGCAGCATCCTTATGGTCACCATGCAACATTGTCACATTTAGTTTGGCTCTCAACTGCAACTAAAAACAATGCATTAAGAACAGCATAACATGTACAACTCACAACACTGAGGAACATTGCACTAAAACACAGTATAACATTGATAGTAATGCAGAAATATAAATGTATAGGACAATGCAGTGAAACATTATAATACATAAATAAATATAATAAAGATGGATTACAAATCCACCTAAACTTGCAAGTGTGGCCAAAATGAAACCCCCCCCATTGTTTCTGATAACATACATCTCTTAATGAATGGGACTAATTGGCTTTTTGTTACAGTGAATCCTGGTTGTACAAGAGGGAACAACCATCAAGGTTCAAAGAGGTAGGTATTACAATGTTCTTGCTACATAACAATATTAACAGGAGTATCTGCATTCATAAAATGAAAGATCTGGAAGACATGGCAGCTGATAAACATGTATTCCACACCAAAGCACAGTAACTAATTTCCAGGTGCCCTTAGTTGGTTGGATTTCCATTTCATTGACCTCTACAGCTCAACAGATTGCATCTCTTTCCTTTTACATGCCCGCCCAGAAACTAGATGAATGAGAATAGCCTGAATTATGAGAGTTTTGGCAATCCTCATGCAAACTGCATTTTCCTGGTGTTTTTTTCCCCATTCCATAATTGCTGTGAAGCTCTGAGAACTTTCCCCCCCTTTTTGATTATGCAATATGATTTCTACCATTTGGTAGAAATTGCTGGACTGTTATGACCTAATGGTTGTAAACTTTGAGACAGAGGAGTAATATGTGATTATTCGTGAACTAAAACTGTTATTCATTAGTCACCTTCTTTTGGGATCAAAGTTTACTTATGGCTTATTACGATCTTCAATAGTAAATCACAATGATGTAAGGAATTGTCATCAGGATCTAAAATTACTGCATGACCAACTTTGCTTCTAACAGTTCTGTGGTATTGTAAAAGATCTTCATGGATCTTTGAAACATATATATTCAACTCAGTATCATTTGCAGACAATAGTTAATTTCAGTAGTAAGATATAATTACTTACATAAGCTTATTGCACACAGGAGGCAGGAAAGCAGCTCTGTTTTCTTCAATCCATTTCTTGACATTCACAAGCATTTCCACCATGACACTTTTTACCAAAGTATACTAAAGAAAACACTAACAAAGTGTTCTGAAGAAGTTAATGACTTTACACAGCACTAGTTCAGTCTGTAGAAGGCTGTAAGTTACTCCCTCCACACAATATGATTGGCTGGTAAGGGTGAACTTTGTTTGGTAGTATGCCAAAACATCCTGCTGTGTTTGACCTTCCAAAGGTTGCTTCATTCAAGTTAGTCCAGTATGTCAGTAGGTTATATAGTGACTGATTTGCTTATTTAAAAGTACATAGACCAGAGGCTTCCTCCTACAGAAGCTTGCATCATTTGGATAAAGGACATATGGTAGCCCGATGCGCTCATTAATTTTGGGTTTTGTGCACCCTCAGGAGAGGACAACCCTTTCCCCTCTGTATAGGTTATCCATAATACGTCACTGTCTTATGCACAACATATACATACCACAATATATGTGTTACTTTTCAAAGTGCCACAGAAAAAAAGGGGGACGGCAAATGTAGAGTTTTCAGTGGAAAGATAATTACTTTGTAATTGTCGCTCACATAAGAGTAGGAAAATGAAATGAATGCAGATAGGGTATTTTTTAAATACTTATGGCTGCCATTCCCCCCCCAGGAATCAGTGGAGAGAAGAACACCTGTGCTGAGAGGCACCTAATTTGGGAATCTGTAAAATTGAGCCCCTCCATTCAATCTGCTTGAAACTTTGAGGGGGTGTGTGTGTCTTTAGATTGCACTATATTATGTGCAAATGTGATGCTATTATCTTTAAAAACAGTTGGCCCAGGCTATCACATCGGTTCCCCATTGAAAATAATGGTCCTGAAACAAACAAACAACAACAAAACCCATATGAATTTGGCCCCCAAATCAGAAATCATGGTAACACCCCCCCCCAAAAAAATCCCTGATCCAAAATTATAGTGAAATGAAATGCCAGGTTCTTCAAACTATGAGCTTCTTCTGTTTTTCCATAGTGCTGATTGTTTGGAGAGGAGAATGATTCTAAACTAAAATTCTTCAAATTTCCTTTGCTGCAATATTAATGGTTTCTATTTTCAAGTCTAATGTAATGTCACCCATATTATTTTTAAATTACAAAGACTATGCTATACTTAAATCTCTTGGGATGCAGCCTACTATTCTGTCTCTAACAATGGATATATATATATTATTTATTTAATTTATATCCCCTCCCATTCCACAAGTAATTGTTGTTTGACTAGAACTAAAGCATTCATATTTGTAAATATACCAAATAGTATTGTGTGCTAAGTTATACGTAATGCCTTTCATGTCCTTAAAGCAGAAAAGAAAGTTATGTTCTGATCTCAATATAAGAAGAAGAAGAAGAGATTGGATTTATACCCCGCCCTTCACTACCCAAAGGTGTCTCAGAGCGGCTTACAAACTCCTTTCCCTTCCCCTCCCCACAACAGACACCTTGTGAGGTAGGTGGGGCTGAGAGAGCTCTTGACAGAAACTGCTCTTTTTCAAGAACAGCTGTGCCAGAACTACGGCTTGCCCAAAATCATCCAGTAGCTGCAAGTAGAGGAGTTGGGAATCAAACCCAGTTCTCCCGGATTAGAGTCCGTGCACTTAACCACTACACCAAACTGGCTCTCAGGATTCGAAAAGGATTTGATGTTGTCCCCTTACTCTCAGGTGGTCCTCAATTAAATTTCTTAGTGCTCATTAAGGAAGCAGACAAGGGAGGAGCAATTATTACTCAAAACAGGTGTGATTATGAGTTGGAAGCATTGAAACAACCAAACATTCAAATCTCTTATGTTCCATGCTGTTTTGATCCTATTAAATCCATCCAGGACAGGATAAAACTTTTGCTGGAGGAAGGTGAAATTAAGGGCTATATTTCATCCTGTGAGAAAACCATTCTTTACAATCAGAACCCTAGGACAACAGTCTTTTATGTATTGCCTAAGATTTATTTTAAAAATGTCCTTCTTCCCCCTGGGAGACCTATTGCATCAGGCATGACTCAGTGTTGTAAGCCATTTCTAAATACGTGGTTTTTCTCCTTAGACTTTTCATCCCTTTAATACCATCTTATATATAAGATACAATTGACTTTATAAACTAGTTACAAAAATACTTCAGTTGGATGAAGGGACCCTGCTAGTTACATCAGATGCTGTGTCCCTATATACAAATATTCCACAAGAGGGAGCATTATCTATAACAGAAAACACACCTTACATGATACACAATTAATGCCCCTCAACTTCTTTTTCTGGTAGTGCTCTCTGCAATCACCCTGGCAAATAAAAGGGATAGGCATGGAATCTTCAATATCACCTGAGATAGCAAATTTATTCATAGTTTTTTAGGTAGAACACTTTATATATACAGAATGATGAGTTTCTTCTTAGAAGGGAAGCTAAGTGGATTCTGAGATTGACCACCTTGGTACTACAATGGTTAAATGAAAATATTTCCTGGCTGGCTTTGATTAAGATAAATGCAGAGTGAGAATAGATTTCCCTCCCATAGCTAGTGAAGTACTGCTGCTTTTATGTCACAGGTCAGTACAGATTCTTAGATCATAAAGGATTTATTCAAAGGGGTGGGCATGAACCAGCTCATGAACCTTTCTTTATGATTAATTTTGGTGGGTTCGTAGTTCGCAAACCAATGTTCATGAACTGCAGCCTGGCCATGAACCTGCACGAACTGCTTTCTCCTCCCCACAAAAGTCACCAAAACATTCCCATGAAAGCCACCAAAAGATCAGAAAGAGCTGAGCCATGGGAGGGGGGGCAGCCTGCTCCAGCAGCTCAGCTGTTTAAGGGGGCTTCCTTGGGCTTGTGTTCTTCCTTGATTCTATTGGTTTCTTGAGCAATGTCATTTCTCCTTTCCAATTGGATCCTTGCAAAGGAGGAGCACAGGGTGCTTCCAGCCAATAACTTTTGGAGATAAGCCACAGAGAGTTACAGTTCTCTTCCCCTCCCTCTTTTGTGTGTGCGTGTCTGTGTGTAGGTAGTCCTTTTGTTTACCTGTGGCTGGGTAAATAGAGAGCTGGGGCAGGATGCACTAAACCAAATGACAAGAAGGCCCATTAGGAACAGTGGGAAGTGCCTGAAGGCCCACTGGATATAATAGGAGCCAGGAACTTGCATGGGCTTCACTTAGATGCATTACAGCAAACAAAAGTTGCAACTTATTATTATCATTATCATATGACACTGTGTGTAGTATAGCCAAGAGATCCTAAGATTGTCTGGCAGCCAGAAGTTCTAGCTCTTTTTTTAGTGTTATGCACCACTATGTGGCGAGCTAGACTTGTTTTTAAGGCAAGAGACATTTTAGAGGTGGTGTGCTATTGCCTGCCTCTGCATCATGACCCAGGTATTCATTGGAAGTTGCCCTTCCAAATGCTAGAAAAGCCGACACTGCCTTGCTTCCAAGATCTGATGAGATTGGGCTAGCCTAGCCTGAACTATCCAGGTCAGGGCAAAAATTGCAACAAAAACGTTGCAACAAAACTGCAGAACAGATTTAGAGAGCTCTGCCCTGGGTCTGGAATAATAGCTGCCAAAGTGGAATGACCACCCCTGGGACTGGAATCAGTGTTCTGGGACTGGAATGACAGCCCCCAGAATGTATTGACAGCCCCTAGAAATAGCAGAAGATTTCTGTTATTCTAGTCCCAGAGCACTTCTGCTACGCCCAGGAGCAGTCATTCCAGTACTAACTACTGATTCCAGACTGAGAGGCTGTCATTCCACTCTGGAGGCTGTAATTCCAGTCTCATAACACTAATTCCAGCTCAGGGACCATTTTTACATTTTGGAGGCTGTCATTTCACTCTCAGAGCAGATTATTGGGACCAAGGAACTATCATTCCATTCTAGGAGCTGTCATTTCAGTCCTAGAACACTTTTATTTTACTCTCAGGGACCATAATTCCATCCGGGAACTTTCATTCTAGGACCAGAACAGTCTTTCTGGGCTCAGGGACCATATTTCCACTCTGGAGGCTGTTATTCCAGGCCTGGGGCAGGTTTCTCAAAAACCATTCCCATTTTCATTCCAACTTTTGCATGCTGTAATATATTTCAGTGGAGCCCATGTAAGTCAATTGACATTCCTGGCTCCCATTATATCCAATAGGACATCAAGCCTTTCTCATGGTTCCCATTAGGAATTCTTGTCATCTGTTTCAGTATGTCCACAGAAAGGCATGGTGGTGTCTGCAAGGAAGCCACTTTTCCTTTGTGAAAGGAAACAAACAGGCCACAACAAGGAAGGATGGCACATGCAGAGTTTTCAGTGGAAAGGTAAGAAATTTTTATTGTCAGTAGGCACTGTTGTTCTTCAGTCGCACAGTCGAGTCCGACTCTTTGCGACCCCATGGACCACATCACACCAGGCCCTTCTGTCTTCCATCGTGCTCCGGAGTTTGCTTAATTTCATGTTCGTTGCCTCAATAACACTGTTTAACCATCTCATCCTTTGCCGTCCCCTTCTTCTTTGACCTTCAATCTTTCCCAGCATCAGAGTCTTCTCCAGTGAGTGCTCCCTTCTCATTTGATGGCCAAAGTATTTGAGCTTCAGCTTCAGTATCTGGCTTTCCAGAGAACAGTCAGGGCTGATTTCTTTTAGGATTGACTGATTTGATCTTCTTGCAGTCCAGGGGACTCTCAAGAGTCTTGTCCAGCATCATAATTCAAAAGAATCTATTCTTCGGTGCTCGGCCTTCCTTATAGTCCAACTCTAGCAGCCATACAGTACGACTGGGAATACCATTGTTTTGACCATATGGACTTTTGTTGGCAGGGTAATGTCTCTACTTTTTATTATGCTGTCAAGGTTTGCCATTGCTTTCCTCCCAAGGAGCAGGCGTCTTTTAATTTCATGGCTGCAGTCACCATCTGCAGTGATCTTGGATCCCAGGAACGTGAAGTCTCTCACTGCTTCCACAACGTCCCCTTCTATTTGCCAAAGAGTGATGGGACTGGATGCCATGATCTTAGTTTTTTTGATGTTG